AAACACCGACGAGAATGAATGAGGAAAACTCACGGGGCGAGTAGAAAGGTTTGCAGTTAATGATGCAGGCCTCCAGGTCTGGGGAACAGTACTGAGACAGTACAGCAACATCGTTGCACCAACTGCTGTTGATATAAAAACAGATTCTACCTCCTTTTGTTTTGCCGGAAAGCTCTGTGTGTCTGTCCGCTCTGTAGAGTTGAAATCCGCTCAGCTGGAGCGCAGAGTCCGGTATAAGATCATACAGCCATGACTCTGTGAAGCACAAAACACAGAACGTAGAAAGGTCTCTATTTCCATTCAGCAGCAGTGTCATCTCGTCTATTTTGTTGCAAAGTGAGCGCACGTTAGAGAGGAATATCCCGGGAAGCGCGGTGCGTAATCCGCGCCGGCGGAGACGCACAAGCACACCTGAGCGTTTACCTCTTCTGCGGAGCCTCACTTTCTTACGAGCGTCCTTGATCAAAATAGCCAGTAAATCTACGGTAGAAGCCAGAAAAGTCAGAAAAAGGTCCACAGGGGTAGTAGCTCTGATGTTCATGAGCTAAATTAAAACACAAAAAGTGACATAGTAGAGCGCAGAAAAACACCCAGAGGTAGCATATATAAAGAATATATGTATATATATATATATATATATATAAAGAAAAGAGCAGTGGCAGTCTCATATAATTATCTACAGGGTTACAGGGTTCACAGACATAGTGTTGTGGTGAACTGGATTTTTGAATGCTGCGCCCCTTGCTACGCCCCCTTACGCCACCCCCCCTTACGCCACCCACCCCCACCCCCCCGCATTCACTCAGGTTTGTTGACAGTGGATTGGCTGGCCGCTTTATGTCCCTCATGTCTCCGTTACCTTCTGGCTGTCCCTTTTAGTAATGCTGTCGTAGCTAGTCTTGCCGGAGGTCCCTACTTGCGTTCTGCATGCAACGTACATTGGCTTGAACCATTACGGGACAGTAAGCATACAGCATACCGTCTGCTCTCCTTACCTGCGTGATCCATCCTGATGCCCTACTTCTGGTTGGAGTTCTCATCAACTGGAAATCACTCGCTGCTACTGAAAATGGACCCACATGGACAGCCTGAAGATAACTGAGATTACTGAGGATGGTACCTCTTAAAAACCATGAAGATGGCCTTGCACCACAATTCATATGAACAGTTACGCTATGATGGCTTAGGACTACAATTGCTTTGATAGCTTTAGGACTGCAATTGCCATGAACAGTTTTGCACTCCATCAGTGAACAGTGGATAAGTTCAACAAAACAGACTTCATGTGAAAACTGTAATGAATTTCCTGGTTACACATTTGCACTATTTGACCATATAGTAGCACATTTATAGAAGGGATTTAATTATAATTGCACTATTATTGTTGTTCCCTTTTGAGTCTGGCTCCTCTCAAGGTTTCTTACTCATATCATCTCAGGGAGTTTTACCATGCCACCGTCACCTCTGGCTTGCTTATTACGGATAAATTCATACATTTAAAATTTATATCCTGAATGTATTTATTTCTGTAAAGCTGCTTTGTGACAGTGCACGTTGTTAAAAGCGCTACACACATAAAACTGAATTGAACTGAACTGTATTTAACAAAGATTTGTGCTCTGTGTTTATTTTTCACCAGATTTTTCAGTGCACTTTCAAAAACTGAACAAAAACAACCTAACTGAAAAGAGGCCATCAATAGATTGTGACTTTCAATATTAGATTAGATTAGATTCAACTTTATTGTCATTGTTCATAGTACATGTACTAAGCCGTTAGCCGTAAGCAGTTAGCATCTAACCAGAAATGCATAAGTGGCATATTTACAATAAATTACAAATAAGGATGTACAGCTATGAGGGTGATATGTACAAGGAAATGGATGACTTACACTATATTACCAAAAGTATTCGGTCACCTGCCTTGACTCACATATGAATTTAAGTGCCATCCCATTCCTAACCCATAGGGTTCAATATGATGTCGGTCCACCTTTTGCAGCTATTACAGCTTCAACTCTTCTGGGAAGGCTGTCCACAAGGTTGAGGAGTGTGCTTATAGGAATTTTTGACCATTCTTCCAAAAGCGCATTGGTGAGGTCACACACTGATGTTGGTCGAGAAGGCCTGGCTCTCAGTCTCCGCTCTAATTCATTCCAAAGGTGTTCTATCGGGTTCAGGTCAGGACTCTGTGCAGGCCAGTCAAGTTCATCCACACCAGACTCTGTCAACCATGTCTTTATGGACCTTGCTTTGTGCACTGGTGCACAGTCATGTTGGAAGAGGAAGGGGCCCGCTCCAAACTGTTCCCACAATGTTGGGAGCATGGAATTGTCCAAAATGTTTTGGTATCCTTAAGCATTCAAAGTTCCTTTCACTGGAACTAAGGGGCCAAGCCCAACTCCTGAAAAACAACCCCACACCATAATTCCTCCTCCACCAAATTTCACACTCGGCACAATGCAGTCCGAAATGTACCGTTCTCCTGGCAACCTCCAAACCCAGACTCGTCCAT